GCTTTAAATTTCCACTTTGTCAAATTCCACTGAGCATCCTTAATTTTAAATCTAACCTCTCTTCTTCCTTTCCTTTCCTGTCTTTCTTATCTTTCTCTGAGTGAAGTTAGCTGTCTTTCTTTTCTCTCCCTGTGAAAAACAGCAGTTGCACCTTTAGCTAGCAACACACAGTGTGACAAACTGCACACAAACACTTTGTATGTTTGTTGATGTTTGTGGTGTCCTCGGGATTCCCACATGCTTGTTTGCCATTCACCTAGGGACCATTTTTGATTCAAGGACACCACAAGGGTTACGCTGATAGAAATGCTGTATTTGAAATTCCCTGGTACTAATATTACTCACTTTATTCGCTCTTCTTCTGTAGGGCTAGCTATAGTTGCTGAAGTACTGCATCTGCAGTTATGGACACCTGCAGTCATTCAGTGTCGTGTCAAAATAATAATTAACCAGCCCACTTTAACCTCTGACCATAGCACACAGTTTGCTTCTTGATGATTAACACACAGGATTGCCTTTCATGTGTTACTGTTTGACCTCAGATTGGTTTGATGTTTGAAGGCCCGCAGTGATGTGAAATAGTAACTCTGCTCAAATGCGTCAAACCAGAAGTAACAAGTCTGTTTTGACAATGTAAGCAGTATATATATATATAATAATGTAGGAGGTAAAAGCAAAAAGTTGTCAGAAAAATAAATACTCATGCAAAGTACAAATACTTGAAAATTCCACTTAAATAAGTAACAAAATATTTGTACTTTGTTACTTCCCGGCTCTGCCTCTGAGAAACAGAAACACGAGAAAGTAGCTAAAGATAAGAAATATTTTTTCTCCATTTTTGTGGTAAAATATGCAATTACTTGCCTAATTATGTCTGAGATATTTTTTAGGGATTAAAGACTTGTTACACTTGACTGAATTATATCAGGATATGCTAATTTACCAACCAATACTTCTCTTTTAAAGGGTAGGTGTGATTTGAGACAATATTGTAACTTTCTATATAAAATTAGCATTTCATATCATTGCACAAGAGAAAATATTGGTCATTTCCTTCACATATTGATCCAGGCAACTACATCACGCATTTGTATGCCTACTTACAC